AAAATGTGAGCGAATTTGGAAGTTATTGAGTTATTTTTATTTTCTGCGCTCAGGCTGACGTAAGTAACCGGAAGTGAAATTTCACCTCCTTAGTAACGCACTCGAGCGCGCGCATAAATCGGTTAATGGGCCCTTAAGTACCGACGACGAATAGGACGACGACGACGAGTAAAACTGTTGTAGGACTGGGTCGAGGACTTCGTTCACGGCGTGAAAACCAAGTGCGAGTACATGTAAACAGAGCTGAGTTATGGTAAACATCGACCTAAAACTATCGAAAAATTTTGTCACGTCTTCCTTTCACGAGCTCCAAGACCCGTTTCTCTTGAGCTACGAAAACGGCACTATCGATGACAACAAATTTTCAGTCCTACATGAGAAATTGATGTCGAAAAATCCCGATTTCTCGGACGAAGAACATAACAGGTTTTCACTCGAAGAGATTAATGATGCCGAATTTTCGGCCCGATATAATCTAAAACGACCTTCACGGTATAAACTTCTATCCTAAAAACATAAGCGAAAGCTTACATGTAGATAGGAAACAGAAGAAAATGAAATACAGAGTCATTTCTCAATTTCTGAATTCATTTAATTTTCTACTTTCGCTGACAAGCAAATTCAACAACGGACAAATTGACAAACCCAAAATGATGTTATTACCAACGATATCTACACCAAACTCGCCGTAAAATCTAGTTAATACAAAGCTAAGAGGTTAAATAAATAGCCAACTTTCATTTCAACAGTTTGATATACATTTTCCTCCTGAAACACTGCGTAATTAGATTAATACTTAAGGCCCGTTAATACGGGCAACATTTTCCAGCAACTTGTCTCGCAACATTGTTGCATTGCAAGTTGAAACACATTATTGTGCGTATTACCACGTTTGTGACCAACTTGTCTCGCAGCAAAATACAATGTTGCAAGTCTGCAGAATTCTCCAGGTATAATTGCTTAATCGTGTGTAAATAAAGATGGCGCCTTCTTTAATATAATTTAGCATTTCGACGAAGTTCCACTTCGACTTCTGGCCGTCATTTTCTTCTTAATTTTCGGTGCCAGCGAAGTTCTCTCAGTATGAAGCTCAGTGTCGTTTCAGGTAGCTAGGCGAAAAGTTGTATTTTTGCTACAGCTCTTCCAAGCCTTTTGCCTTTTTTCCTGCTTGTTTTGAAGGGACAAACGAGGTATCCCAAAGACTATGATAGTCCTCGAGGTCTTTGTAAAGGACAAAATTATGACTTTCCGAGAGTTACTGGTCTACTTCGAATTCAGGCTCGCCTTCACCGTCCGCCTTGTTTTTTTTTTATTTGCCGCGCTTCGCGACAGCCAATCACAGGCGTTGAATTCAAATTTGTTGCGAGACAAGTTGTAGCTTCAGTGGTAATACGAGCAGCAAAACTAAAATTTGTTGCAGAAAGTAGAACTCGAGTCTACTTTGCYCAACATGTTGCCTCAACTTGCAACACTGTATTTTGCTGCGAGACAAGTTGGTCACAAACGTGGTAATACGCGCAACAATGTGTTTCAACTTGCAATGCAACACTGTTGCGAGACAAGTTGAAGAAAAATGTTGCCCGTATTACCGGACCTTAACTCACGTTCGCTCAGGACGACAAACCTGACGTTTTGACGTCCTAAACTTCACGTGGACGACGAGTCTATCATGCGCAGTAGCGCGGTAAGGGGAAATTTTACTTCCGGTCGTCGTCCTCTGGGCTCGTCGTCGTCGTCGGTGCTTAAGGTGGCTCCATAGGTAATCATTTATGGCGTTGCGCGCGCAAGTGTTATGTTTTGAATGCTGTTTTTGCATTCGCTTTCACACCTAGTCCTCTCAAACTTATTACATGTAATAAGCAATGATTAAATAGTGTTTTGCTATCATCTCTGTTAAAATTTTGGGAGTCTTAAATAATAAATGCCCAAACAAATGTGTTTTTTACCGTTTTTATGGCTTTATTTGTGATTTTCATGAATTTCCTTCGGTGAAATCTTCCAAAATTTTTACATCACATCGCTTCCAGCGGGATACGAATTTTAAACACGAAAAAAGTAGGGTTTGTAAAAGCTGTTTTTTCGATATTTTCAAATTTATGTCTTTTACCGCTGCAAAAAATCTGGTCTCATAGATTTCCCTGAAAAACGAACTCCAACTAAAGTAAAATATTGTCTACCAATCTGCCAAATTTTACGGAATTTCACCGAAGGAAACGCGAGAAAATTCACTGTCAGTTTTGCTTTTTGCACTCATGTTGACGTAATAAAATATCGAAAAACACTGACGTTTTCCTTTGGGCGCGCGCAGACTACTTCCTCAGCGCAGCGCTCGCGCGATCGTAAAACTATAGGGAGCCACCTTAAGGTCCCTAATATGTCACGGAGAACGACGGCAATGAGAACGTCACAAAATAAAAGGTTTAATGAGAAAAACAATAGCTGTGTACATGCGTTGTAAATCTTGTTACATTTCTTTGCGTCCTCTGCAAAGCAAGAACGTAAATTGACCAAGTCAGGTTCTGCGTTGTCTGAGAAACGCGAACGACGACTGCTAAATTTCCATTTAGAATTGGACGCTCTCATTGCATATTTAGTCTGAGCACTTTGTTAGAGCCATTGGCGTGCTGAACCGGATCTAGACAATTGCGAATTTCGCTGGTAAAATATAATGTCATTTTTGACTAGCCGTCTTCCTCGGCGTCGCCGTTGCTTAAGCTCACTAGTATTAGCATTAACGTAACACTGTAAATTCGAGACTAAAAAAGGTTTATTATGTAAGTACTCTGGCTGAAACGAAGGGTCCGTTTTTCACTTTCCATACCCAAATCCAATACTGCCTTTAGGCCTTTCCAAAAATATCACGTTAAATTGCCTAAATATTTCTCCAGAGATTCTCAAAAAGAATTATAGATATCACAAAAAAAAAAAAAAAACATTTTATCAATAAAATAGCGAGGGAAACACACTCAGGACTAAGCCAAAAAAAGCTGTGAATAATCCTAATTAAAATCCAACAAATATTTTCCCTCGCGCGCGATTGATCGAAACACGTCACGTGACCGAATATTTCCCAGCTAAAATTAAACTGGGGAATATCCTCGCGATATTCCCCAATTTTCAAAACCGCGCGTGTTGCGAAAAATAGTTTGAGGATAATAAACACAATAGCCTCCATTTGGCATGAAAATATTCTCGCATATTTGTCCTCAAAGCTCATAGTTTTCCGAGAGCGTAACTGTTCGCTTCTCGGAACAGATAATGACCGCGGACAAACATCCGAGCATATTTTCGCGCCAAATGGAGACTATTGTTTATATATCCCTATATGTTCTAAATATCTTGTAAACCTCTAACTATCCTCAAAATATCCGGTTACCAAAATATCCGGTTATTTGTGGAAAGTCCTAACTGGCTTTATAACAATGACTTAACAAAGAAGAACTGGTCAGAAATAAAGATGAATCGTTTTCGGCGATAGTTTGAATAGCTTGTTTGAAATTGTAAATGTAAATTGTAAATGCTGCTTAAATATTTTTATTCAGCTTATTTTATTTAGTTTTGCTTTGACGACAGGCTAACGAAACGTAAGCTTCCAAATCCACCATCACCGAATTCACTTTTAACAACTTCAAGTCGATTACCAACTATAGCTTCAGATAAACTTGAGGTCTGTGATTCTTTGTTTTTCATCTAGGAAAGATCTGTGCCAAGGAATGGTTTGTCTCAAGACTTCATGGGAACTCAGCCCTTGATTGCGGTGTTGAAGTATCACGCCCTTGCAAAACCATCAACCAAGCTACTTCACGGGCTAAGGACGGTGACGTCATCAACATTGATGGCGAAGACACGTCACGTGATCCTTATCCTTGCGAGGCGGAGTCCACTGCTGGTCTGGTCATGCGCAGCTATAAAACTCGAGCGTTTATCGCTTGTGAGAACAACATCTTTCCATTTTCATGTGACGTCACGACGAACGCTTCTTCTGTTGTCAACATGAAAGGAATTACATTCGTCAATACGTCTTTGTTTATTGATGAATGTTCTTTAAAGATGGTCGACTGCGGTTTCATGACCGACTCCGATGTCGCGCTGTCCTTGAACTTCGCTCGCAATTCAACAGGAAATGTTGATTTGGATGGGTGCAACTTTCAAAACAACAGCGCTGGTAGTCTAAAGATTTCTGGAAAATCTGTGAATTTGACCATTTCGAATTCTTCGTTTGCAAACAATAAGCTTCGAGATGTCAACAATAACATCTTGGCCATTTCAGCACAAAACGTACCAGCCCAGCAGATTGATACAATCACAGTTTACTTCACAAACATCACTGTTTCACAAAACAGCTGTCCCGGTCATGCGTGCTTTGAAATTGTCGCTGGTGTAAACCGCAAATTAGCGCTTGAGATGGATCAAGTAAATTTTGAAGACAACAAGTCTGGAGAAAGTATTCTTGACGTCCAGAATTCGTCGCACGTGTACGTAAAGTTTAAGTCAACGCAGTTCAAAAAGAACGTTGGTAGAGCTGTTAAACTTCACGATGGTGACTCACTCGAACTGAAAATCATGAACGGAACGTTTGCTGGGAACGAAATACGAGGAAATAGTAGTTACGGAGCAGCTGTTTTTGTCAGCGGATTCAAACAGACGGCTTTCGTTTCTCTGTCGCGGTCAAACTTTAGTTCCAACAAAGCTGGAAACGGTGGAGCATGCGCTTTCGTTGACATATTTTATCTGATGCTGGATATAGAGAGCTGTCGGTTTGTTCAAAACGAAGCCTGGGCAGCAGGCGGTGCTGTAACTGTAGAAAATCATTTTAAGAACAATGCATCCCTGGATATTCGTAGTTCGCACTTCCGTGAAAATATCCTAGATCCCGATATTGACAGGGGAGGGAAAGCATATTACAACACTCATTCCAACATGCACGATTTCAAAAGCAGTATTAGTGGGCCAGCGGGCATAGAAGGAGGTGGAGCGCTGTTTTTGTGTATGTTCCATGTGCAGAGGCTCTCACTAGAAAACAGCACTTTTGTTGGCAATACAGCGAAACGAAAAAACTCCGGAGCAATTCAAGCCCCATTGGGCGCCCTTCATACGGCAGCTGTAGTACGCAATTGTGACTTCATCCAAAACTCAGGCGGTGAAACTGTCGGTACTCTTCACCTAACCGTTAGAAGATCTTTTTCGACATTTCAGTCGCAGATAATTTTACAAAACTCCACGTTTATTGAAAACAACGGGAGCAGTTTTTATGACATTAATTTGTTTTCAAGGTACGTGCTGATACGTTCCTGTAAAATACAGAGAAACTCAGGCGGGGGAATAAACTTTGGAACCGCTTCTTTAAACATCCTTTTGGAGAATTCCTTAATAAGCGACAACTCAAACTTCGTGGTTAATCTCTACACAGTGTTAAATCTGTACACAGACAGGGTGGGCCGTTACAGATCAACGTACGAATTCAAGAACGTCTCATTCATCGACAATAGGTGCGCAGCAAAAAGTTCTTTTTTTAGTGCTTCCTTGTATGCGAGTCAAGGTTCGTTACTTTTCCAAGAGAGTACATTCCGGAACAATTTCTGCAAATCAGGAGTAGTGAAAATCTCTGTGAACCCGTCTGGTCTCGATGTTTTACCTCCAGTAATCTCTAACGTCACCGTAACCATGAACAACACTGAATTTCGCGAAAACTCCGGAGTTTCTGAGAGCGCCCTAACAATATTTGATGTCAAATCGATTAATATTCTAAATAGCAATTTTACAGACAACTTTGGCAGTACAGACGGGTCTCACTTGCGCGTACAGATGAACAAAAGTGAATTGACAATTTACAAGACCAATTTCTACCAGTCGAAGAAGTCCCAAGTTTTTAATCTTTCGAGAGAGCAACCGTATAATGGATTTTTAACGGTGACAAGTTTGGGAAACATAGAGATCCGCGAGAGTTCGTTTGTTTTGGATCCGCTCAGTGCAGGTGTCAATCTCATCTTTGTTAAGGGTGTGGGCAATGTAGTCATGAACGATTCTGTGAGAATTCAGACCCCATTCAGTACCAAGCTCCGCCTGCATAACTTCACACATTGGGAACTGGGAACGAGCCCTCTCCCGAAATACGTCACGTCGTTTTCATTAGTCACCGAGCCATGTCCTGTAGGAGCGTACAGTATCAACAGAGGCAGCAGTGAAGGTTTAACCATAAAGAACAACGTCCAATGCCTTCCCTGCCCAGCAGGTGGGAATTGTACGTCTTCTCTGTCTGCAAGGAAAAACTTCTGGGGATACCCTATAGGCGACAAGGTCCACTTTAAGCTCTGTCCCCAAGGTTACTGCTGTCCAACTGCCAGTCAAACTTGCGCATATATCAACAGGACCTACCTGCATTCTGGTTGCCAAGGAAACCGAACAGGGTTCCTGTGTGGAAAATGTAAAAAAGATTTCAGTGAGTCTCTGTTTACAACTAACTGTCTCCCGAGCAAAGACTGCACCCATTTCTGGTATTTCATCATTATTTTCATCTGCACGTCATCGTTTGGTTTTTTTCTTATTCGAAAGCCTCCAGTGTTTGAAATAGTGATGAAAAACCTAACATGGTTTCTCCCGAGACACAGCAAGAAAAATAAAAAAGGCTACGACAGCTTGGAAAGTGATGCTAAAACAAGCAGCGGCTCAAGTTCAGGATTGCTAAAAATCCTGTTTTACTTTTATCAAATTGCTGGAGTACTGACCGCTACCTACTACGGCGTTAGTGCGGTGCTAAAAAATAACATTCTCTTACCAGTGATAAGTTTACTTGACTTTAAGATATCTGTCAATAATGAGTGGAGTATCTGTCCCTATCCTGGTATTACACCCCTATCAAAAACACTATCCCAGCTTGCAGCAGTAACGGCCACCTTTTTGTCGATCCCAGCTTTTTACCTGCTGCACAGCGGCCTGAACAAACTGCGTAAGCGTACACCAGTTCTTCCTCCATGTGGTCCTTACCTCGGAGCGACCCTTGAAATCTGGTTGCTAGGATACTCAGCGGCAACTGGTACAGCAATGAAACTGCGCCACTGTGTACAAATACAGCACGTGTCTCGCTGGTTCTACGACGCAGAAATCACGTGTCATCAATGGTGGCAGGAAGCCTCTTTGGCTGCAATAGTCGCGTTCTTGGTGCCGTTTATATTTACGTTGTATTTCGCCTCACTGCAGTTGTATCAAGGCCAGATCTCGGCGAAGATTTTCTTATTGGCATGTGTCTTCCCTCTTCCATACCTACTTCTTGCCTTCCTTGTTTATGTAAACAAAGTAATTTCAAAATCACGCGCCGGTCAAGAAATGAAATGCAAGTCAAGCACTGCTGATCGTGAAGAGTGCAATGAAACTTCTTCGTCCACCGTAGAGCACTCGGTTCTTGAGGTCCTAACTGCTCCATTTCGCAAGCCACAGGATGGTCGATCTGGAAAGATTCACTGGGAAAGCGTTCTCATTGGCCGTCGATTTTTGCTAATTATGATTGGCTCCGTTTTGAAGCACGCATTCCTTCGCTCTGTCTGCCTGACAATCCTTTGCCTGTTTTTCCTTTTACATCACATGTCCCGGAAGCCCTTCGTCCATTTCCGCGACAACCTCGCTGAAACTGTTTCCTTGGCAACGTTGGTTGTCATAGGAATACTGAACGTTGGCGTGACGTCGTATTATTCAATGGGAGTTGAAACTAGCGGTGTTCAGTCCCAGTACGTCCTAATCTTTCTCTGGACAGAGGCAGTCTTACTGAGCCTGGTTCCCGTCCTGTTTGCCGTTTTTGTCTCCTTATCGTTGGTTTCTCAGCTTGTGAGGCTGGTGATAATTTTAATCAAAGCGGCACGGAGGCTTGTTTTCAAATCTTAAACTTCTGAGCGTATACGCCTCAGTTAGGTCAACTCGATCAACCAGTGCTTCCTCCGGCGTGCTAATTCTACGAAACAAAATCATACTAAATACAGGAAAATACAGTAAATTCCTTGACAATGTAATGACTTAAGTTAATAACTTTAATTGTAATACGTCCAATTATAACGCACGAATTTTGACCTTTTAAGGCTGAATATAGGCGATTACAACTCGCAAGGGAACGCTCTATATTTTGATTGACAAGCTCAGGGCAAGACTGCCATTGATTGAATATTCGTTAACATATTCACGAGATCAGTGTAAAGAAAATCCCGGGCGGATTCGCGTCTGAAAGGTTGGGGATATCCGTCTGAAAATTTGAATTGAACCCTTAAGGAGACCAATCTGAAGGTGGCTTGAGCTTTATTTGACCCCTAAAAGATACCACGGAAACTACAGATTTTTATTTTTATTATTTTTATTTTATTTCTTTGAGTGCACTCTAAAAGATACTTTAACTGAAAATAGTGGCGTTTCGTCCTGAACACTTAAAGTGAGACCAAAATTATTGATTTAAATTCCAAAGCGAGACGACGGGCATCCCCGACCCTTTCATACGGGAGTTTCTCCCCCCCGGAAAAAAAATATGTAGCATAATCAGTAACACAAACAGCGGTGATAAAAGTTGTATTCCAACACATTTGAATACAGAACTTGACATTCTGTTATTACTAAATGATTAAACAAATTACTTCAAAAGGAAATGTTCCGCTTCTTTATTATATGAGTGCCCAGCTCTGAGCACAAAATTCACCTTCTTTATGGACTTGTTTCCAGGACGCCCCGGAAGTTCAACTAGTCGTAAAATTCAGATAGCAATTCCTCCCGGAAATAAGCGACCAAAAACAGAGACGCAAAAGTCCTTCCCGAGCTTAAGAACATGGGCTTATTTAGCTTGAGATAGTTAGAGTTAAAACAAACAAAGTTCATATTTGCGTCCAAAATTTTACAAACATGAGGCCCCTCCGATAACAGGTGAATTATTTACCGCCTCGGCAAATTTGCGAAGCTAGCGTTTTTGAGTCCTAACTATTCGTTGGAGCAAAGTGGACTGATTGACTGTGTATGAGTTATGGGATTTCCTCTCCTTTGAAATCCTGCCAACGCTAGCCACCTACCATCCTCGGAGACCCAGCGGCTACTTTGACAATGTTCCGACGAAATTCATGAGCAATAACAGGACCCCGGACGCAAGAAAAACTGACGTCAATATTTGTTAAATTTTTCGTTTCGTCTTACATGACAAAGCTTTCCAATTACTCGCCTGGGCCTGGTTGCTAAGCGCACTTGACCATTTGAACAAGATCAAGGCAAATAATAATCACAAGCTTTCGGAGACGATTTTTAGAAAGTTATGCATCCCTCTTTAGCTCCTCATCTTCATAGCGAGTGCCTAGAAGTTATAGAACAACTACATCGTTGTCATCAGGAGGTTGGTAAACGTTGTTGATCGACAATGACGTTTATACTTTGTGTTACATAATCACATGTTTGGATGGAGAAGTAACCCTATTATTTTCTTACTATTTCCTGTGCAGCACCCCTTTCGAAAGTTTGTAGGAAAATGTAACGACTTAAAGCGGGCCTTGAACGCTTGTCTAAAAGAAGAGGTAAGCTTAGAATTTCAATAAGCTTATTTGAGGGGGGCATAGGGGCCTATTAGAAACCGAAAACCCGCACAAAAAATCGCTGAAAACCGCAAAACCACAATAAATTTCGTCCAAAACCGAAAACCGAATCTCTTTCTGTTATTTAATTTTTGTAAGTTTAAACTTGTTTTAATTTCAGTGTTCTTTCAGCATATCCCCTTGTTAGTGCAGAACTCATCATAATCCAAAAATTTGCTTTATTTTGTTGTAAACTGGCTCCAGACCTATAGCAGTGTGAAAACTAGAAAAGCAAAGCATGATAGCATAATTTTAGGTGATTTTTGTTTAAAAGAAACACCACATTCTGAAGCTGGTTTTTAATTACCATTGTCAGAATTTTCATTGTGTAGACACATGGCAGCCACATTTTACAACCAAACCACATTATTTTACAACCATACAAACAGTCTCTCCTTTGCTTTTATTCCACGTGAACAGAGTGAGTGAGCGCAATGTTCTTCCGACGACCAAAAGGGGAGATAACTTGTAATCGAGCTATTAACAGAAACTTGATGGTCCACAGTCTAAGGTCAAAGTCCACACGATATTATCCCAACCGCGTGATATTTGAGAAATAGTCTTTTGCTTTGAGGTATCTTTAACTTTTCATAGTCTGCTTGGCAGCCGTTACAACCCAAATAACAGCTGCTAAATTTAAGAGACTGGACTTGTCATACATCATTTAAAAGAAAGTCTGGATAGAAGGCTATATAAGTGGTCCCTTGGAATTAGAGTTTTAGCAAGACTGCAGGGTGTAACTTCCTTGACAAAACCAGAAAAATTGTTATTGGGCACTGAGAAAAATCCGAAAAACCACCATCATGCTTGACAAAAACTGAAAACCAAAGACTGAATTGGAGAAAACCCACAAACTGCACAAGACACCAAAACCGAAAAACCGCAGTTATTAAGTGCAAAAACTGAAAAACCAAACTAAAAATTGCCCAAATCCGCTAAATCAAAGATCCCAATGCCCCCCTCATATTTGTACGGCCTCAGAGGTTCGATTTGCTCCCACTTTGACAGGTGATCGTAACGAGGGAACTCATAATTTCAGGGGGGGTGACCTTGTGAAGGTAAGAGCTGACTTAAAGGATACAAACTCTCATTGAGACACGCAAAACCTCTTGAAACCTTTTAGAATTTTGAGGAATGAATCGTTCCAAAAAATATGGGTACTAAAGGTTTTTTTAAAAACATCCAACTCCCACTCCGGGAGACGTTTTGCCCACCCCCTCATAATTTCAACCGAACTTCCACGGTGTGGATATGGATATTTTCTTGAGCGACATATAAACAACTCTATCTCTAGATGGGATTGGAAGAACCTCTGACTCTTCCCTCTATGTTTTCTTTTATATACCCAGTAATAAATTTCAATTGTATTGTATTTTATACCATGCTATAGAAAATACAGCCAATCAGAATACAGGAAGGCCATTTTTTATTTGACTGTATTGCATCCAACCTGTTGTTTAGGACAAACATTAGGGAGTTTAAGTAACCATGGTGGCGACGCTGAGGACAACGTCAATTAACCTACGAATCTCACAATTTACCTACGAATCTCACAATACTCTAAAGTCATTTACTTTGTTTATCACTGACAGAACTTTCTAAAAACTGAATCTGAGACACAGCGATAAACTTGAAATAAAATTTTTTAAAAATTAGCCGTCGTGCTTCACGTTCTCCATTCAACACCGAATTTGGCCATTTCATGTTGTTGTTTTGCTGAGGACGGTAAAGAAATGTACCAAGAATTATAACGCATGTGCACAGCCATTGTTCTCCTAATTAAATCTTTTGTTTAGCAACGTTCCCATTGCCGTTGACGTCGTGGTTTTCTTAAACTCCCTATTTTCTCCTCGGTTAATGCATGACACTTAAAATAAACGTTCAAAAGAAAATAAAAATCGAAAACTGATAACATAGAAAACTGTCAGAGTGTCATCTTTTGAAAAATCACAACTCCAAATCAAACCTTCCCATCATGCATCACGCGTATGTCGCTTTGATTGTGTTGGCCACTGTATTTTCTATGGCATGCTATAAAATAGTTATACAACGCTCTCTCGTGGTTTACCATGGAATATTCCACTTGGGACAAGATATACCACTCGAAGGCATTTGCATAGCTAGTATGTACAACAACCAAAACAAAAAACAACAACAACAAAAATAGTATGTACAACAAGCATATCTCTCTGAGCTATTAAGGGAACTCCTCACCTCCTACCACAAGGAAGAAGAATGCATCTTCTAAATAGAAACAAGGTCTCGCTTTTATAACTTGTGGCATGTTTCAATTTACAGAATTTGAGGAAAAGAAGAAGAAACTTAGAAGAGGCAAGGAAGAGAGAAAAGGCTGTTAGAAACCCTTATTCAGAATAATGGCTGTGAAGAATGAATATGTGATCTTAAGACTGATCGAATGTCCTTAAAATTAACAGCTTTGTGTAGTCACAGGTTGTTTGGCTGTTTGAATGAGGGTACATGGACCTCTGTGGATGGCCAGGTTTGGCTAACTAGAATTGTCAAGTCTGACACAAAAATCTGCAAGTTTTGTTATGCGTAACATTTCTTTTTACCTCAACTGTCATTTCAGAAATAATCATTCGTGAGTTGGTTCTGTTTATAACATATATGCTGTACTATCCAAGCTAGGCAGTGTGCTATGTAATGTATCAGTGTTTATTAGGCTAACCAGAGTGTTATTTAGGCTAAGTGAAGTGGTTTTAAGGGCCTGTTTACAAGAAGAGAGGGTTACCCTAGCAAGCTGGTCACCCTAGCACTCACACATTTCCTCTTTTTTTCTTTGCCGTCTTTACAAGGCAGCTGGGGTTACCAGGGTAGGTGGGTTACCCTATCTGCGTGCTAGGGTTACCCAGGCAGACAAGTTAACTTTTTCCCTTGTAAACACTCCAGGTAGGGTTAACCTGCCTACCCGGGTTAACTTTCCAATATTATTGTTTCCAGACCCTTTGAGTGTAACCACGCATTTAAATTGTCCTGGGTTGTAGGGTTACCCAACCTGTGAAATTTTGCTTGTAAACCCAGGCTATCTTTTGCCCTCCAGCTAGGATTAACCCACTTGCTTGGGGTAACCCTCCCTCCTTGTAAACAGGCCCTTAGGTAACAAAGTGCTGTTTAGCATTTCACTCCATGCTCAGATTTGACTCAAGTTCCATTTTGGCTCGAAAAATGGTTACTCTGTTGGAGTAAAAAACAAGCTCCACCAGATGGAACTTTGTAACACTGTTCCACAGCAGCTTAGAATGTGATAATGTGATAAAAAGGTGAACAATGAAAAATTAATTTAAAAAATGCCTTACAGTCAATGAAAAGTCAGGATATGTTTCTTTGTCTATTGGGTGACAACCCTGCTACTGAAACATTGTCCCTTGGGAACATTTGTGTTGGCTCCATACCATTTTGTATTACCTCCAATCTCATCATTGCTTGAAGCTATCTCACCCTACCCCCTCTCAGTCCTCTCTGGATCATCACCTGTAGGTAGAGAGTTAGGAAACTTGTGTGTTAGCCCATTTTCAAGTTCTTTTAAATAAAAGCTTTGAGAAAAAAGGGTTTTAATTTATGAGTGTCAAGGATGGAATGTCGATTTGAACACAGTTAACTCCTGATAACTCGAACCCCAGAAAGGTCTGAGTTATCGGACATTGAGAATAAACAACAGTTTCAATCCTGAGTGAGGGGAGTCAGGGGACTTCCTTTTGCAAAGGTCAGGGGTGGTCTTGTCTCACTTAGGGGTATAAATCAAGAATTTTGGTGTCACTTAGGGTATTCAGGACAAAACGTCAATATTTTAAGCTTTTAAGCTTTTTAGGGTGGACTCAAAGAAAAAATAATAAAAGAACGTTCTCATTTCCATTTTTTAGCATCGATTTCCGCGGCTCTCTTGGGTCCAGTCTACGAGTGTGGGCTCCTTTCCTAAACAGCAGCTGGTAATCAAGCCTATTTTGTTTTAAGTGGTATCTTTTAGGGATCAAATAAATATCGAGCCACACCCAGATTGATCTCCTTTAGGGGTTTAATTCAAATTTTCCGACAAGCATCACCGACCTTTTCATATAGGAGTTTCCCTCCCAGGGGGCTTCCAATCAGAGAAAGAGTTTCACCCAAACAGCAAATCAGTAGATCCAAAGAGACTACCCCATATTTCTACACATCACTCTTATTATTTTAATTGTAAATAACATAATTTGTTTCAATTGTAAATAATGTAACTCAACAGAGAAGAGCCACCTCGTGGATCTGTTAAATAAACTATCATTATTATTATTATTACTATTATTATTATTATTATTATTATTATTATTATTATTAAACAAGATATTCGATGATGTAAATTGTTACTTTAAGTTTATTTTTAAATTTTTGACATTCTTTTATTATTATTGTTGTTGTTGTTGTTATTATAATCATAACAATTACAATTTCCTCAAATGTGATTGGTGCATAAACTGCTGTATTTTGCTCTAATTAATCTGCAAAGTTGTAATCGGACAGTGTAATTGGACAGTTGGCTGTAATCGGACACCTGTAATCGCACAGTTACAGGAGCCAATCATTTTAAATCCTCCCCACTAAATCCACCAATCACAACATTGATTGCAATCACTATAGTAACCACTGACTGAGACTGACTTTGTAACATTGTGGAGGTTTAGTCTCTGGTGACTGTTTTGAAAGAGACTTTACAGCCATTTTGCGAGCTGTACTCCATATTTTATAATTGTGATCTTTAAAATGACAATAAATAGCTCTTTATCAAATGAAACTTTTACTTTTGTGGGAAATTGTAATTATTATGATTAATTGATAACAGGACATCGTGTCGTCCAATTCAGTCTGTAATCATACGAGTGATTACAGACCGAATTGGACTCCACTCAGTCCTATTACCATTATTTATTAGTACTAGTGGTAATAGTAACTGGTCTGAGTGGAATAAAAATCAGGGAGTAATCGTGCTTGTAATTTCAAATCGGCTCCGCGCGATTGCGGAATTAAAAATGTCTTTTGAGAACTTCTTTTGATCTTGAAAGAGCTGAACAGGTCAAAAACTGAGTACATCTCTTGGACTATGTTCGTGACAGGATCTCGATTTGTGGTGGTGTTTGTGGAGATGTTTTTCTTGCTTTTTTCTCTTTCGTCCTTTGTTGCTGAGGAATATGGTGCGTTCTTGAGAAAAATATATATTTTATGGAAATTCTTTCTGCAAATATAACGCATTCATGTTCTTGCACAGCCTTGCCATAATTAATTTAGTGAAAGTAATTTTCTCTTCATCTGAACACTGGCACCTGGACTGAAATGAAAAGGCACTTACTGGTATTCGAATTGTTTCTTGGACCAGATTTTAGGTCGATTTTTAGTGATTGTGTTAAATAAACATTCAGGTTCGATTTTGGATTAAACTTTGCTTATTTTTCCTTTTCGTCAAGACAATTCTACATCAACTTGTACAACCAGTGTTCTGAAGCTTTGTTCAGTTGTTGTATTGTGTTTTTTTTAAAGGTTGATTGCAGGAAATTTGTTTGATTTTCTGTGAGTTATGTCATTTTGAGAGAAAAACGAGAAGCTAGGGAAAACTTTTAATAGATTTAGTTAGAATTAAAATTAGGGAATCAGTTTTCATCATGAATAACCACAATTTGGTTCGTGTGACTTTTCTTGTAGTGGCAGGTTTTCTCCCTTACGACTCCGTACAAGGACGGAAGGAAGGCGGAACGCGCGATTTGAATTATATATGTATAATTTCCGCGACTTTGAAAAGGACGCATGACAGATGTGCATTGAGCGAAATAGGGTGTTTAGACAGAAATCTTTGCTCGAATAAATTCTGTAAAATTATATTTTCTGAAAAGTTCATTCGGTAAAAGCTTACAAATACGACTGCACTACGCAATAACCCCATGGACCAGATCTTGAGGGAAAAACGTGCAAAAAGTGCCAAAACATGAATTGGATTTGGTCTCCCATCTGATTAGTTGAAAATAAAAAAATGCCTGCTGTGATGGATTTCTTTTAAATTTCATGAACCGTCAATGAAACACCGACAGTTAAGTAAACATTGAGTTGCTTTCCGGACCAGTTCTTTGAATATTTGGCCTGCCTATAAACAGTTTTGTGCTTTGCGCTTTCACAGAAAACACAACTGATAGTCCAGCAGGCAAGTGCTGCACAAACCAGAGTACAGGTGAGCCCGCAGTCACTGATGGGATAGATTATTACCACGACGACTTCGAAGACGTTGACAGTACTGCAGCTGACGCGTTATATGCAGTCTATGGTGCAGCCGCCGTCCTAGGCATCGTTGTTTTGGTTTACGCATGTAAATTGTGCCTCCAACGCAATCGCCGCTGGCAACAGGCTCGTCACTTCGCGACAATAGTTTTGCCGCCCCAGTTCCCAAACTCTATTCATAGAATGCAATTAGTGAACCAGGAGTAAAGAGACTCTGACAATGACGACTTATTTCCACTTACTATTATTATCAGTCATGGGTGGTAAAAGTGAAGATAAGTGATTTACAGGTAGAAAAACTGAGCCTTTTTAAACGCAGGTGTTGGTACAAGACTTTTTTCGTATTTCTTTGATATTAAACAAATAGATTACGAGCTCGAGATTTCTGTCCCGTAATAATTGACGAGGGTGCAGCCCGAGTCAGCTATTACGCATAAAAATCGAAAGCGAATAATCTAATAATTGTTTTAGCATAAATCTACTAGTCGTTCAAAACTTTAACTAAATCTTCTTCCCAGACACTTTAAAAACGCCAAGAAGCGTCCGTCATTTTGTTACCACCATAGTTAATAGACTATATATGTTTCACACTAAGTTGGCTCAGTTGGCCAGTTTTAATCTTTACTCTAATTCTGTATCAGCATAAATCAACACATTGTATTATCCTGTTTTAATGTGCATTTCCTTAGTCATTTGTGTAAAGTAAACTGAACATATAAAGTATCGCTTGGTTATCAGAAGGTGATAATGCAAAATAAAAACTGAACAGTTGTGTCTCGCGATCGTCCATTCCATTATCTCTTGAGATGACTAACTGTCTATGCAACGTAAGGATGTATCGAAACAAATTTTCGAGGTGAGATGTATTATACGCCAGACTGCGCTGATATACATGCCCCAAGTTATCTTTCCCTGACCTTCGACGAACGAAGGTCGCATTGGACCAAGGGAATGCTGAATGAATCCTTTGTGTCCCATGGCATTTCACCACTCATCACTACGGACTGGAAACGAGTCTTGTATAAAATTGAATATTGTCTTTTGTTATATTTAATGCTGTATGTTATATATAGCACAATTCCGAGAAACAACACTTCCGTTCCAAGAATACTATGAAACCAGCCAAACCGGAAAATTCCGGAATCGGTGTCAATCAAGCGGCCAAAGCTGAGTGTTTTACACGCCATTATATACATCTGCATGCTAAAGCTTTTTGTCTTTCCACTGTTATAATGTTCTCTCCAAGGGAGACTCTTGCCGCAGGACTTTTCATCCTGGTTTTTATAATTAGCCAACTAAGATCTTCAACTGCAGGTACTTTTTTTTTTAGTTAGCAAACCTTAAAACTACTTTTGAGACATATCTATTTGTGGTAGTCGTTAATTATATTAATTAAGTTCTTATATACCAGAAATTTCTATTTCACTGTGGTGAATGCAATTGATTCTTTATGGTTAAAGTGAGGAAGGCTGTTTTCCGTGATTCAAAAGTACATAACCCTAGATTTACGACCGTTCTGAACATTTTACGAGCAAGTGATCGCTCCCAGAATTGAGCCTGTATAAAATCCAGCTTGACGTCTAAAGACATCGTTGTCAAATCGATGTGATTGCTTGTCGCCATGGATCGCAACTTTGGAGATTGGTCAAACATCAAGACAGTCATTTTTTTGTTCTTCAGTGATCTCTCTGTTCAGTTTGTATGCCAGGTTAGATTTTGGCTGATCGGCGTTGTCCGGCATAAAACCACTGCTTTCGGTTGCTTGAGAGTTGTGGTTTGACAGATTGATCTGTTTGTTGGTTTCAAAAAGCGACCATTTCTTTCCGAGAATTTCTTTCCGAAATACCGTGAACATATGGACGCGCTACAAGCCATTCATTGTGTTTAACGAATTATCAGCCTGCGATTTCTCTCAAAATTTATGTAGACTTGCTACATTTCTATCTCGCTTTTTTTTGTTAGTTGATGAAATGTTTCTTGCTCATCAAGAACTACGAAAATAGTTTATCTCCTATAACATTGTTTCTTGATATGTTCAAGTCAGAGGTGGCTAAATTAGCGGGAAGCAAACAAAATAGGTACGTTTGCACATTTCTTAGCCGTGCTCTGCAAAACAACAACGTTAAATAACCAGACTGCGTAGTCTGAGGAACGCGAGCGGCGACGGCTAATTTATACATTTTCCTCTGGTATTTTAGCGTCACATTCCTCACTGGATTTTGTGTGTTAAGTGTCGGGGGACGCGTATTGCGAAGTCGTGAATGGTCGTTTCTTTCTGTTTATACTTTACGGCAGTTTCGTTTGATCTCTCTCGCTTGCAACCCTACAGTTATTATCCTTCAAGACGGTCACGTTCTCTATTTTACACGAGTATAACACGTCGATCGAGGATGCCTACTCCCGGAGCTAGCCTTACAGAACCTAGTGTTGCAGTACTTCTAATCCCGGAGATTCGCCTGTCATAAACGAAGTCTTCTCGATGTTCAAAAGCTATCTTGAAGTTAAACTGGATGGGAAGAGTAAACAGATCGCGAGTCGAAGTAGAAGGTGGACGAGCAGGTTACTCTCATGAAATTCAAAGGTAACCAGAAGCAGTTTGAACATAATGCCCAGATCGACTCAATTTTTGATAGATTGTCCCCTGCAAATGTTCCTGAAAACAAAGATCCGACTTATTTTATTGTCGAAATCCGTAAGCGCCAAAAGTTGATCCGAATAGCCGATAAGAGTGCCGACGGTTGGAGAGTAGTGGACGAGTATGTCTCTGATGAATTGGCCTCCGGTTCCGAGGACGAGAAGCGGTTAAAGAGGGCTAAGGACGCGGCAAACCGTAAACGAAGGCAAGCCACGCAAGCTCGCCACGGGCCAGAAAAGAGAACCAAAACCTCCCTTTCGTCAACAGATCAGCAGCTTTTTCGCGGTGAACCTACATATAGCATTATATTTTTGTGTTTCCTCCAATATTGCTTGTGTTCTGTTGTTTCAAGTTCTAGCTGGGGTACTTTGTTTATTCTCTATTCTTTAGGGTCCGCATGCCATCC